ATTTCTCTTTTGATTTTAATATTTTCTATTTATTTCTGCTCTGATCTTTGTTATGCCCTTCCTTCTGGTAGTTCTGGCGTTAGCTTGCTCTTCTTTTTGTAGTCCCACAAGTTGTAAATTTGGGTTATTGACTAGACATCGCCTTTTCTAATGTGGATGGCTTACCACTATAAATCCCACTTCGCAAACCTCACCACCAGCACGGCTGTCACTGTCCTCCATAAATTTTAGTGTCTTCTCCTTACATTTTCATTTGGCTCTACCTATATGTCTTATCTCTCTCTTGATTTCTTCTTTGAAAGCATTGATTGTTTAATAGTGTTGTTTAATTTCCACATATTTATGTATCTTCCAATTTTGCTTCTGTTATTAATTTCTAGTTTCATTCCATTGTGGCCAGAGAAGGTGCCATAAAAGTTTTAAATCTTCTCAAATTTATTGAAACTTATTTTATGACCTAGAATATGGTCTGTCCTGGGAAATGATCCATGCTCATTGAATAAGAAGGTGTACTGTTGGGTAGAGAATTCTATATATGTCTGGCAGCTCTACTGAGCTTATGTTGTTGTTGTTAAGTATCATCAAGTCTATTCTGACACATAACAACCTGTATGGGTTTCTAAGGAGTGGCTGGTAAGCTTGAACTGCAGACCGTGCAGTTCAAACCAACTTTGCTGTCTAGCGCATTAACCCACAGTGACACACCAGGACTCCTTAATGATGTTAAAATCTTCTATTTACTTTTTTGTCTTCTTTTGACATGTTGTGTCCATTCTTGAAAGTGATGTATTGGTGTCTCCAACTACTATTGTACAACTGTCCATTTCATTACTCCCTTGAATTTCTGACAGTGTTTACTTCATATGTGTGGGTAAGTCAAAAAGCAATGCCATAGAACAATATAAATGCTTATTAAACAAAAATATCAAACTATGAAACTATTTTTTCTTGGAATATCCTCCATCTAATGGTGATGGTTCCACCTCTCTAACAAGTTCCTGAAGAATCCTATACTCTTCAACTGACATCAAATCAAAACATCAGTTTTGGCAACCTCAAGAGACTCATATAAATCATGTTTTTTTAAATGTTCTTTGAGTCTGGGAAACAAAAGTAAGTCTGAAAGAGCAGGATCAAAGGTACAGGGTAGATGGGGTAAGATTTCCCAATAAATTCTCATAGTATAATTTACTATCCTTGAAGAATGAGCAGGAACATTGTTGTGATGCTGGGGGAATGCTTTAAAGCAAATTGCCTGGCCTTATTTTCATGAATGCAGTTTTCAATTTTCTGAAAATTCCTTCCTAGTAACCCCCAATGATTGTCCTATGTCTTTCAAGAAACTCTATCAAGACTACCTTTTTGGAATTCCCTAAAACAGTCACCATAAACTTCTGAGCTGACCTCTCTGCCTTGAACTTAATTGGCCCATCAGATCCCCTCAAAAACCACTGCTTTGATTAGAGTTTTAAGTTCAAGGCACCCTAAGGAAACTCACACAAGAATTCTTGAGTGAGAACTTGACTGCAGTCACTTACTAATTACACAGACATGTTTAAAAACTTTTTGTTTTGGATAAATCCATGCATGTATGAAATGGAACCCTAGAGGTAGTGTGTTTGTATTCACCCTTATATTTTGAGTCCTGATGTTAGGGCTATATATTTTCATAACTGTTATATCTTCTTGATGAATTGATACTTTTATCATTATATAATGTCTCTTTGTCTCTCATAATCTATTTTAACTTAAAATCTATTTATCTGATAGCAATATACCATACCAGATCTCTTCTGATAATGTTTGTATGGACTGTTTTTTTCCTCCCATGTGTTCACTTTCAACCTTAGATTCAATTTTTGAGCCTAAGATATCTTTTGGAGACAGACTATAGAAGGATTCTGGGCTTCTTTTGCTTCATATCCATTCTGCCACTCTTCCAATATAGGAGAATTTCATCCATTGACTTTCAAGATAATTACTTGTTGTTGTTGTTGTTAAGTGCCGTCGAGTCGGTTCCGACCCATAGCGACCCTGTACAGGGTTTCCGAGGGTGTAAATCTTTACGGGAGTAGAAAGCCTCATCTTTCTCCCGCGGAGCGGCTGGTAGTTTCGAACCGCTGACCTTAAGGTTCGCAGCCCGATTCGTAACCACTACGCTCCCAGAGCTCCGATAATTACTTATAAGAAATAAATTCTTTTGTCATTTTCCTATTTCTTTTTTTTGTGTTTTGCTTTTCCCTCAGTTCCTCTAATACTGCTATCGATTATGTTTTGCAGAATTTTTGCAGTGAACTGTTTGAGTCCCTTTTCTTTTCCATTTTACGAATTTTTAAAGATATTTTGTAGTTATCATTTAACAGCATAACCTTATGCCAACATAATTTAAATTTATAACAATTTAAATACTGTAACAAAACAAAAACAGCATTCCTGTACCATTCCTTCAACCCCAGGCCTTATGAAGTAATTATCAAAAATTATATTTTCACACATTATGTGCTCAATAGCCTAACCTTAAGTTGGCAGTTCAAACCCACTAGCCATTCTTTAGAAATCCTATGCAGGGTCACTATGAGTCAGAACCGATTTAACAGGCACTTAATAACAACAGGTCTAAATTATCTAGAACCTGTAAACATCCCTACATTTAATAAACCTTATTGTTTTTAGATGACATCAAGTCGTTTCCAACTCAGGGACCCCATGCACAGCAGAATGAAACACTGCTCAGTCCTGTGCCTGCCTCACAATTGTTGTTATACTTGAATCCACTGCTACTACTACTGTGCCAATCCATCTAGTTAGGGTCTTCCTCTTGACCCTCCACTTTACCAAGCATGATGTCCTTTTCCAGGAACCAGTCCCTCCTGATAACATAACTGAAGCATTATAATAAACCTTGTTGTCATTGTTATGTGCCATGGAGTCGGTTCTGACTCATAGTGACCCTGTACAGGGTTTCCAAGGCTATAAATCTTTATGGGAGCAGAAAGCCTCATCTTTCTCCCGTGAAACAGCTGGTAGTTTCGAACTGCTGACCCTGAGGTTAGCAGCCCGATTCATAACCACTACGCTACATAAACAGCATGATATCAAATGTATAAAGCAGACATATAATGTTGTCATTAGATATCTCTGGTTGTAGAAATTCTAAGAAATACTAATATTCTTCTTTGCAAACAACCAAAACTTTCAAATTCCTACAATAGATAGATATTTATTTTATAACCTTAAAATAAATATGATTCTGCATATAAACATAGGAGTCCTGATGTGGCTCTGCAGACTAATGACTGGGCAGCTAACTGCAAGGTCAGCAGTTTAATCCCACCAGCCACTTCTCAGAAGCCCTATTCAGGGTTGCTATGAATCAGAATCGCCTTGATGGCACTTAACAACAACATATAAACATAAACCGCTTTGTATGTACCCTTTATATTTTCCTCTATTTGGAAAATATGAGGTTTTTTCCATCTGCTGCAGAAAAAAACATTTTTTTTAAACATTCGTATTTCTTAACAGTTCCCAAATCCTTAGAAAAGCTTACTTATACCTCTGTAGGTTTAATTTAAACTAAACAGTTAAAGATATTTCATCTTACCTTTTCATAAATTGTATCATCATCTTCTTCTACTCTGTTATCTGCAAGACATGAACATGATCAGAATCCTTGTCAAAAAATGTAACCACAAGGTGTCACAGCATGTAAAAAGATAACCACACAGAACCTTCTTTACAAGAGATTGAGCATAATGATGTTGGTCTAATTTCTACTATCAAGTAAAGCTATTCTGTTTATAGTACAAATAATTGTATCCTATAAACTTCATGAAATAGAAGTTTCATATACAAGTAATAGACATGAAATACATCATAAATGACACTACTTAGTTCCATAGCTTTATGTATTGGATTTAGTGCAAGCTCACTGTAAAAAAAAAATCCATTGTACCTAGCCACAGTTACTAGTTACTGAAAAAAAAAACACTAAACTAAAGTACCTAGCCCAAATCACTTAACAATGGAGATGGCATGAGATTTCACCAACTTAGGTTGTTTTACTACGGTGGTCTTCGCTCTCTAAATAATGATCATACCTACAGTCCAATGACACATAACTCATTCTATAATCCTCAAGCTGTCACAATAGTTTCCCCCGGATAACAGCCGCATCCCGGAGACCTTTAATATCACTCCTAGTTCACAGGTTAGGTGTTAATTCATTTTAATTGTTGGCTTACTTGTTAACATAAAACACTGTTCTGTGGACTTCCATTATATTTCCCTATATTATATTAATCAATGAAGTAATGTTTCCAACCTCCAAGCAAGCCTTTGTCCCAACACACACACAGAAAACAGGGACAACTCTTTCATTTGTGTTTTTGGTACATACTTCTGTAGGCTTTCTCAGTGGCTCCTTGGAAACCCTATTGTTGTTGTTGTTAAATGCACTCAAGTAGGTTCCAACTCATAGTGACCCAGTATAGGATTTCTGAGTGCCTGGTGGGTTTGGACTGCCAACCTTGCAATTTCAATTGAATTCACGGTCCAGTGCTTGTCCTATAGTCTCTGTGAGTCAGAACTGACTCCACAGCACTTAACAACAACAACTATGTATGGGTCCTTTGTGAGATGCTCTAATGTAGCTCCAAAGAATCCGAACACTAACTGGGCCATAGGAAATGTCAATCTTCAAAGAATCCCACCTAACTTGCACAGACGACTGCCTCTGAGGTGTGCTCATGCTCTCCCTCAAGACCAGCCTCAGAAGGTGGATGTGGGCTTCAAGTAGACCTTTGAATGAATCCTTTTCATTTTATTATTCAAATACTTGACAATATTCACTCTCACTAGCCAAACAAAAACATTTTCACTATTACTGTTTTTTCCCTGTGTCTGGACCTCAGCAGAGAGGAACTGCACCTCCTTACAGAGAGCAATTTGCCTTTCAACATAATTGCTCTGGTAGGCTTAGCCTGTTAAGAAAGCTTTTAGAGGCAAAGTTCAAACAGATAAAAATCATTAATACAAATCCCCATCTCTCCAGCAGAAAGAATGCATTAAGGCTTTGGTAAGCCTACAGATCTCTCAACAGCTCTAAGGCCTCACCCCCTTCTACATAAATGTCTATGACAGATGTAAATGATCCAACTGGAAGTTTCACCTTGTCCATCATCTTCACCCTTCTTGTCATTTTCATAAAACGCTGCTTCTGAGCTGTTTGCCTGTTCTCTGGGTTTCCCGTTAGATTCTCTTCCATGACTTTCCTGATCCTCTTCTGCATCTCCACCTTTCATGGCATTAGCAATCACATTGGCCACCTCATCCAGCTCCAAGACACCCAGATTGTCCACAGTGATCGGATGCTTTCTTAGTTCCTTCAGGAGATTCTGGATAAATGCTTCTAAATGCACACACAAAAATAAACACAAATAAATTATGTGTTGAAATATCCAAAAGAAGACACAGCACGTTGATTGCAAGGAAACATAGTAGACATACCCAAATATATTAAGGCAACGTTCCCATGAAAGTTGGACCGAGGACAGATGTTTAAAAAGTATTTGTTGAATTTGAATCACATACAAAAATCAAGCCATTACCAAAGTTTAGTATTTTTAAAAGGTCAAAATAGAAGTACAAAACCCATTGAGAACCAAAGACAAATTTATTAGTCTGATTAAGAGGATAGAAAGTGATATCTGTTATGAATGGACTGTATCTCCCCGATTCTTTGTTTAAATCGTAATTCCTGTACCTGTAAATATGTCTTTGTTTGAAAATAGGGATTTTGTTGTTGTGGTTGTTATGTTAGGACCATGGGGATGCTGTTAACGGAAAGACTGGCAGTTCAAACCCACCCAGAGGCTCCACAGAAGAAAGGGGTGAAGAACCACCTTCAAAAAGATTAAAGCCAAGAAAATCTTGTAGAGAAGTTCTACTCTACAACACATGAGGTTGCTAAGAGTTAGAAACAACTTGACAGGGACAGATTTTGATTTTCTAATTTTCTGTTAATGAGTAAACCTAACCAGGTCTAACCATGGAGTTCTGACATAGCACTGTAGGATAAGAACTGGACTGCAAGGTAGGATTGAACTTCAAAGTTGGTGGTTCAAATCCACCAGCCACTCCTTGGAAACCCTATACAGGGTTGCTAGGAGTTGGAACAGACTCAATAGCACTAGACAACAATCATGTCTAGTAGGTACAGAGCAAATATAGAAACACATATGCAGAGGGAAGATAGATACCAGGAATGCCAAGGAACATCAAGGAACTCCTGAGGCTACTAACAAGGATGTCCTGATGGTGACTTCTAGTCTTCTAAACTGTGAGATAACAAATCTCCGTTCTTTAAAGCCACATAGTTGTGGTGGTTTTTGTAATGACAACACTAAGTAACTAAAATAATCTCTGATAATATAACTGGAATTTTTTACTCAAGATATGAAAACAAATAATTTCATTAGTCTTTCAGCTAAAAGAAAATTATAGGCTATTTTCCATCTCACTTGGGAAAAGGATAATATATCTGAAAGATTGGCATAGTGTCTGGCATATCATGACTGGCACATAATAGCCCTATCAAAGTTGATAATCATCATTTTTCCTCAAATAATTTTTTCTTTCTTTTGCTCTACAGCTAGTAGATGAACGCCTGTTAGTCTCTTTGGTCATCATGACCAATGTATTCTACTTTCTGAGTCACCCCACTTTATGGACATGTTGTGTTCATGAGTTTATTTGGATGTCAAAGTGAAATTACTGAAACAGTACTAGAACATGAGTTCAATTACAAGGCCAGGTCATCAAATCTTTACCTGAAGTATAGCTAATAATGAGATGACAGATATTAGAGTCATTCAAGGATAAAGGGTCTTTAGAATTTAGTCTGAAGTCCCTTAACTTAGTCTCTGTTTCAGTACCAGCAATGGGTGAGGACTCCACCACCTCAATAGCAGTGTGTCAGCCCCAGTGTAGAGGTGTAGAGGTGGGAAGACACCTGGGGAACTGGATGCACTGTAATGACTGCTTCACTCACAGCTTCCAGCTTTCCTTAGGTTAGCTTGTTGTTGTTGTTATGTGCCGTGGAGTCAGTTACGACACATAGAGACCCTAGGGATACAGGGTTTCCGAGGCTATACATCTTTACAGGAGCAGAAAGCCTCATCTTTCTCCGTCGGAACAGCTGGTATATTCGAACTGCTGACCTTGCTGTTCGCAGCCGATTCATAAACACTACACTACCAGAGCTCCTTTAGATTAGCTTAGTTTAGGTATTTATTTGCAAGGAAGTTCTCAGCTGTCAAAAATGGGAAGGCCATAGTAGATAAGAATATCAAACATGAATTAAGATTATTCTCCTTTTCAGAGACTCTTAAAACATAATTTATGTATGCTTTTAAATGATATGCAAATTGTGGGAAAGTCTTCTTCCTCTTTATCTTTGTCTTTGAGAAGCC